CATCATCATCATCATCATCATCATCATCATCATCATCATCATCATCATCATCATCATCATCATCATCAGCATCATCATCATCATCATCATCATCATCATCATCATCATCATCATCATCATCATCATCAATCATCATCATCATCATCATCATCATCATCATCATCATCATCATCATCATCATCATCATCATCATCATCATCATCATCATCATCATCATCTCTCCTCGCCCTCCCTCCTCCTCCTCCTCGTCCTCCTCTTCCTCCTCCTCCTCCTCCTCCTCCTCCTCCTTCTGCCCCATCCTTCTCCCCCTCCTCCTCCCCAACACTGCCCCCATCCCTCCCTCCCTCCTCGCTCCCCATCCTCCTGAACCTGCTCCGACCCATACGCCTTCTGGGAAGCTGGCTGCGCGTGCGGCCCGCCCGGCCCACCAGAGGGGGGGGGCACGGGCGAGCGCTGCCTCTTGACCCGGGTCGATGGCGCCGTGGTCGCCAGCCGGGCCTGTGCTCCTCCTCCTCCTCCTCTCCTCCGCCGCCTCCTCCTCCCGCTCCTCCTCCTGCGCCCCGTCACTCCTCCTCCTTCCTCCTCCTCCTCCTCCTCTCCTCCTCCTCCTCCTCCTCCTCCCGCCTCCTCTTCCTCCTTCCTCCTCCTCCTCCTCCTCCTCCTACTCCTCCTCCTCCTCCTCCTCCTCCTCCTCCTCGCTCCTCCTCCTCCTCCTCCTCCTCCCCATCACCCTCTCCTCCTCCTCCTCCTCCTCTCCTCCTCCTCCTTCCTCCTCCTCCTCCTCCTCCTTCTCCTCCTCCTTTTCCTCCCCCTCCTCCTCCTCCTCCTCCTCCTCCTCCTCCTCCTCCTCCTCATCATCATCATCCTCTTCCCCGTCTTCTTAGTCTTCTTCTTATTATGATTAGTATTATTATTATCATTCGGTGTCTTCTTCTTAGCATGATTAGTCTTATTAGTATTATCATTCTTATTAGTATTAGCATTATTACTATTATTATGCTTATTTTTTATTATTATGATTATTATTATTAGTAGTAGTATTATTATTAGTATTATTATTATGATTAGTCTTGTTATTAGTATTATTATGATTATTAGTATTATTAATATTATTATTATGAGTAGTATTATTATTACTATTACGATTATCATTATTATTGTTATTATTAGTACTATTATTAGTATTAGTATTATTATTATGATTAATATTATTAGTAATATTAGTATTAATAGTATTATGATTGTTACTATTAGTATTATTAGTACTATTATTAGTATGATTATTATTGGTGTTGTTATTATTGTTAGTAGTAGTATTGTTATTGTTAATATTAGTATTACTATTATTAGTATCAGTATTATTACCATTATTGTGAGTGTTGTTGTTCGTTTTCTTCTTCTTATCTGTATTATTATTATTATGATTATTCTTCTTTCTCGTCCTCTTCCTCTTCCTCTTCCTTTTCCTCCTCCTCCTCCTCCTCCTCCTCCTCCTCCTCCCCCTCCTCCTCCTAATCCTTGTCCTCCTCCTCCTCCTTCCTCCTCCTCCTCCTCCTCCTCCTCCTCCTCCCCCTCCTCCTCCTCTCCTCCCCTCTTCCTAACTCAATACTCCTGGCGCCTCCTCCCTCTCCACGGAAGATTCCCATGCCAAAACTACGAACCATGTCATGTTTGTTTGTCCCCATCCTCCTCCTCCTCCTCCTCCTCCTCCTCCTCCGCCTCCTCCTCACTCCCCGCCTCCTCCTCATCCTCCTCCGCCTCCTCCCTCCGCCTCGTCTCCTCCTCTCCTCCTCCCCTCCTCTCCTCCTCCTCTTTGTCCTCCTCCTCTCCTCCTCCTCCTCCTCCTCCTCCTCCTCCTCCTCCACATCCTCCTCCTCATCCTCCTCCTCATCCTCCTCCACCATCCCGCAATATCGCCGTCGCCATCTTTGCCATCGCCATGGTCATCACCATCATCACCATTGTCATCATTCTTACTAGCCACCGAAAGCATCTTCACTAGCAGCGACACCCTGGAGATCATAAGCAGCACTGCAGTATTACCAGTATTCTTCTTCGTCATCACCACCGCCACCGTCATCATCATCACCACCACCACCGCCACCATCATCATCATCATCAGCATCATCATCATATCATCATCATCATCATCATCATCATCATCATCATCATCATCATCAGCATCATCATCATCATCATCAGCAGCAGCATCAGCATCAGCATTAGCATCAGCATCATCATCATCGTCATCATCATCAGCAGCAGCAGCGACAGCATCACCATCACCATCAACATCACCATCACCATCACCATCATCATCATCATCATCATCATCATCATCATCATCATCATCATAATCATCATCAACATCATCATCATCATCATCATCACCATCATCATCACCATCGCCATCATCATCATCACCATCATCATCATCATCAGCAGCAGCAGCATCAGCATCAG